TTGAAATAAATAACAAAATTTCTCAGGAAAATGAATATATAAATTTACGCATAACTTTCTGGAATTGTAAAGAATTTTTATACAATAATTAAACATTGATCTATTTTCTGGCTTATTAAAAGATGATTAGAAATAAAAATGTTTATAGTTTTATTTCCCTTCAGTTTTGTATAATCTGGACAAATCAAACACTAAACGTACCTATAATGACAATAATGACAGTATAGATTGGCAGATGTCTGAGTCAGGGTATCTAATGTCACCCACTCTGAAAGTTGCTTTGAAATCTTAGCAGTTTGTAATGAGAATTTTCCTTAAAATCCACTTACTTTCTTAATGACAATGCCATGAGAGCATTTGAGTGCTAGATAATTTTAGGGTCTATTCAGCTGAATGTTCTCATATCTTCAATTAGCCTTGATGCATTGAGAGGCTGAATGGCATGTTCAATAGTCCATGTCTCCTCTTGGCAATGGGTAGATTCAGACTGAGATGACCTTGAATTCTAGAAAGCTTGTAACTCTCAACCCCATGTAACATGTATTTATAATTAATCAATTATTATTTTTACTTTATTAATTTGTTTTTTATTATTATTTCAATTTCTTTTATATATTCAATCACACGACCTAGCTTGCAAAGTGAAAATTCCAACATGTGTACATTTCACACCAATCCAATTGATGATACTATAAGGTTATCCCTCAACTGATAATAACCCATTTCTTTGTGCCATAAATGCCTTGCCTCTCTATTTTTCTCTTTAATGTCCTTGCTCAGACACTACTCCTTCACCCTTCCTCTTCCCACACTGTATCTGGTATTCACAACCATTTATTATGTTTCTATAATCAATTATCTTTTAATCTCAACATTATAACTAAATTTCATTTTTTAAAAGATCTGGAGTCAGTATGAATAGTATTAATAATTGAGGACCTTACCAGCTGTTTACGATAACTGAATATTGATAGGACGAATTCCTAGTCATGAGAGAAAATGTTATATAAAACACATAAAGAATCGTCTCACTAATTAGAAACATAAGCTACCTTTCATTTGCCAAAGATACTTTAGACCCAAGAGAAAACTACTATTTGTGGAAACTTATGAAGAAAATAGGACAATGGGAGAAAGGTTTCTATGTACATGGTTGCTAATAAGAAGATTCTAAGGTCTATATTTAGGTAAATTTTTTGTCTCACATTCAAACTTAAAGTATTAATATAAAAGATATCTCATATTTGGTAATTCTAAGCCCTGTAGAATACCCAAAATTCTATGTCCACATGATAAAATAAACTTATTATATACATACATATTATACATGTCTCTTCCCACAAGACGGGGTTGAGAGGATTTAAGCCTGAATTCCAGAGTGCAGAGTCATATGCAGGGGTTACAGAGTGGGAAGATGGGGAGGGTGGAAGAACTGGGAATAGTAAGAAGAAGGAGCTTTGGTTTATGATTCAAGGTCTGGTGGGAACATTTTTGAAAATGTAGGTGCTATTTCCTGCAATCAAGGGCTTTCGAGAGCTTGATCATCATTTCCCAGCTGTATCACTTCAGAAATTTGTTTTTAGTTGTGGGCACTCCATGGCTAAGCTTTCACAGGTATAATGGAAGAGGATCATATTCTCCTTGCTGATAGAGAGCAGGGAATTTAACTCCCACAGCTTCCCCCTTTTCCTTTGCCTTGAAGAAATTTTGGCTTTATGCTAAAGTGTGAAGGGAAAAAAAAGGCCTTGACTGTAGTATGTCAGGCATATTTCAGCTCTATTTGTGTCAACTCTAATAAGTCAATTGACAGTGTACTAAACTCAGTATCTGCTCAAGACCTGACGCCTGTACAGGAAATAAAATGGTATTTCAACTGCAGGAAGGTTCTCTTTGTTTTATAAATGGACATTATTCAGGGACTTTTTCCCTTTTATTGAGGTATTGGTATCCCAGTGCCTATTTTAATGATCACTGTAACTGACAAGGAAGATAACACATTTTTAAAATGATAACAAGGGACCAGCAGTTAGCATAATGGCTATGTCGCTGGACTCCCATGTAGTCGACCACAGTTTGTGTTCTGGACCTGGTGGCTTAAACTCATGCCGGGCATGTGTGCGTGCTTGACCAAGATCCCAAGAGGAGAATGGAGGACAAGGGATTGCGGAGTGGCCATTCCCCCTGGGGGGTGATTTCTCGCTTTTTGTCTCTATCTCTCTCTCTGTCTTTCTGGCGAGCGCACACATTCTATAGCAAAAATCTCTCTCAAATCGCGTTTTCTTGGGAGCGCACCCAAGTTTTAAGCAAAAAAAAAAAAAAAAAAAAACTCTTTAAAAATAAATAAATAAATAAATAAATAAATTACAAAACCTTTCCAGGATAGGTAATTGTGTTTTACCTGTTCAACATCTTGCCCTTCTGACTTGTTCCTACACTTAGTAGATTCTTAATAGGAATTTGTTGAATGATTGAATGAATCTGTGGATGGATCTTCTTTGACACCATTTATTAATGCTTACAAGAGATGCTATAGATTATCTCAACTTTCTATTGTACTATTAAGTTTTCATTTTTCTTTCTGGATTAGTTATTTCCAAAAGTCATTATGACTGGTAGCAATTTTGCTCCTCAGGAAGCATTTGCCAATATCTGGGAACATTCTTAGTTGTCACAACTGGGGAATCTAGTAGAAAGAGTGAAGGGACATTACTACTCATTCAATAATGTACAGGCCAATCCCTTACGGGAAAGAATTATCTGGCCCAAACTAGCAATAGCATCAATGTTAAGAATCCCTAGTGGCACCAGCACATGGCCTAATAGTTAAATCACTGGACTCTCACATCATGTGGTCAACCACAGTTGGGTCCCAGACCCATAGCTTCAAACTCATACCAGTAACATGTGTGTGCGTGTCCTAAATCTTGAGAGGAGAATGGAGGAGAAGGGATTGTGGTGTGGCCATCTCCACTGAGGGGTGATTTCTGGCTTTCTATCTCTTTAGTGAGTATAGATACCCTATCACAAGAATCTCTCCTAAAATAAAAAGAATCTTTAGTTAGAGAAATTATTAGCTTAAACCATATAAAGTTGATATTGTTCACTTTACTCTCTATTCATAGACAATAGACTTCTTATATTGAGTAGATGTTTGCATGGGACAGCCTTACACAGTAACAAATTACACTGTTTACATGTTCGTAGAGGCACTATTGAAAAGTCCTCATATAAATATATCAAAGTTACCAATCAAGCTAACTCCCTTCAAAACAAAATTTGTTCTAACCCTCTACTCCAACAAATAAGCCTGATAAAAATTTGAAAGGCAGGTTTTAGATGTCCAGTTCTTTTATTTATTTATTTATTTTTTTAGCGGTTTTTGCTGTAGGGTGCGTCCGCTAGCCAGAAAGATAGAGGGAGAAAGCAAGAAATCCTCCCCCAGGGGGATGGCCACACCACAGTCCCTTCTTTTCCATTTTCTTCTTGGGATCTTGGGCACATACCTACATGAGCCCCATGTCAATTTACACCACCGGGTCTGGGACTCGAACTGCAGTCAACTACATGGGAGTCCAGCCTCATAGCCATTATGCCAACTGCTGGTTCCAGATGTCCAGTTCTTACATTTGTAGTTCTAAAACTCTGTTGGTGCCCTTGGCTCATGACCCTCCTTGTCCCATGTGCAATCTCACACACATATGTGTGGATTTCCTAGACTGCTTGTCCCAGCTCTGTCTACATGTCCAAAAACAGCCACACTTGGCCACCAGAGTGGTCTAGAAGTTTGCACACCTGCAAAGACTGTCCTCAGGAGACTGGACCAGGAAAGGGGCCATGCAATCTTTGCAAACACACTTGGGGCCACTTTTGCAGGGAATTTTGGAGTAAACAGAGCTTGGCCAGGTTGGGATTTTGAAAGGGGTCCCAGATGGGCAATTTCTTTGGGTCAAGGATTTGCACTCAGGAGCAAAACTATTTCTTTCAGCCACGTAATCACTAACTGGAAATTGAGTTTTAAGATATGGTAATAGGTATACCTGCTCAAAACTGCGAGTATGTGAGTGATGGGTATTAATGCTATATGAAGCAACCCAGTGTTTTATCTTACAGTTTAAACAGTAATAATTTGAGGCATTCAAAATATGAGACTCTAAAAGCACATTTTATGGAATCAACATATTTGAAGGCAGTAGACAGTTTCTAGTCCTCTTTAAAAATGTCATCTATAAATTTCTGCCTTTTACACTTACTTTTTAAAGTATCCTTAAATTGTTCTTTATTAAGATACAGAAATGACAATCACAGAAAACAAGTTGTTATGTTGTATGGGATCCATGAAATGTATTTTAAGAGACATTTAAAAAAGAAATAGTCTTTTAAATTCCATGAAAGTGAGAGGACAAACAGTTGCATACCTGATGCCTATGGAACAAAAGAAAACATCATGTGAATCACCCTGATCTAAAGGAAAGAAAGTCTGTAAAAGACATGGTAGAGCAATAAGAAAGAATTTTTTATAGGATCTCTCAAAGATATAGTTTTTACAAATGAATATAATGGATCATCAGAAAAGTTGTGATGTATTTTTGTTTTTCTATACATTAATGGGTCACGACTTTCCTGATGATCCAATATTAGTTGTTGTTTTTTTCTTTTTTTGGAGAGGTTTTTGGTATAGAGCATGTGCGCTTGCCAGACAGAGAGAGACAGAGAGACAGAAAGCGAGAAATCTCCCCCCAGGGGGGATGGCCACACCACAATCCCTTCTCCTCCATTCTCCTCTCAGGATCTTGGGCACGCACGCACAAGTGCCCGGCGTGAGTTTAAGTCACCAGGTCCAGGACTCAAACCATGGTCGACCACATGAGAGTCCAGCGACATAGCCATTACGCTGACTGCTGGTCCCCCAATATTAGTTTTTAAATATTGTCTAAACTGTTTAAGAAAAATATTATATCTACAATGCGGTATAATCATTGCTTGTGAATTTTGTTTTGCAGCTTGTTTTTTAGGAGCATTGAACTGACCAGTTATGTTTACATCTGGGACAACTACAGGCTCTTCGACTTGCCTTGGGATTCTCCATGGACTTGGTATTTAACCTTCTTAGGAGTTGACTTCGGTTACTACTGGTTCCACCGCATGGCCCATGGTAAGTTGCACATGAAGACTTTTTGTTTATGTTTAAGTGTGTTTGTTAAATAGTAGGTACTCAGTAAACATTTGCTGAGTAAGTAAATAAGTGAATAAGATAGCATATTTTACAGGATATAAAAGTGATAAAGAAAATTTATTTTGAAATTTCAGTGGGGGAAATATGAAAATGGTTTTCCAAAAAAGTGTCAACTTATTTTAGGTACCTTTTTCTCACATCTTGTGCCCAATGTTTTTAAAAAGGTTAGAAAATGATGGCATTACTTTTTAATGTATTGCTTTATATTATTCATATTATGCCATGCTGCTAGAGTCTACAGACTTTTGCCAACAATATCAAACTTCACAACACAATTATCAAGAGTCATTCAGAAGTTTCCTCACAGACTTCCTACCCACCTTCTCAGAAGAACTCTGTAATGGCATGGAATTCTAAGTAACATGCACTCTTAAGGCATGCTTGATTCAATTGCTTGACAATGTCTTCACATTATAAATGAAAGTGAAATCAGCTAGGCACTGACCATAATGCAGTTCATCTTGACCAGAGCTTTGCCAACATTTTCCTCTTATGCGAAGCCCTCTTATTACACTGGTTCACTGAATTTGGTTTTTGGCACCCTTAGCTGCATCTTCCAAAGAAATGTTTTGTTACGGAAAGGAAAATGGAAGAGTGGGAAATGCATGACTGAGCCTGAACCTCTATAGGGATTGGTAGGAATTGAGAATGATTGTAGAGCTAAGGTAGGCAAGTGGGCCCTGGGGAGGAATAGGCATGCCAAAGTATTTCTAAAGGGAAGTAGAAGAAAATACTAATTTTGAAAACCTACAGAGGAGGAGAACTCAGGATTTCAGTGGGTGGTTAGGTTTAGTGGGTGGGGAGGAAGGAAGGAAGAGGAAGAAACCTGGAATAATAATAATAAAAAAAAATAGACGGGAGATGGAAAGATGAGACCTGAGATCAGGATGAATTACTGAGCTGTGGGTGTAGGAGGGTGTATGACCAAATATCCTTCCCAAGCAAGGATGAAGGAAATAGAAGCAGCGTAAACAAGTGTTATGCTCAAGGCTGCTAAACTTTAAATATGGCATTGTTTTTGTTAAACACCTTAAACATGTGCATTTAATAAAACTGTGATGAGTGTTAATTCATTCAAATGATTCAAAGTGAATATATAAGCTAGAAAAGTTATTTATTTTGTATGTGATAACTTTTCTCTTTGGAAATAATGTATCAGCCCCTGACATGATTTCCTTGTATATAAATGCAAGAGGATACTCCTAAATCCAGCATAATTAATACGAAAATATGGTCTATGAAAATATGGTCTGTTTGTATTTTATTTCAAAGTGGCATTTTTTCCCCTAAAATAAACTTATTGGCAAACTTCCTTATGCAGCAAATGCAATTTTTATGCAGAAAGCATTTACATTGTATTACTTAATTTCAGGAAGCTTCTGATAGCATACTGTCCTGTATAGTTGCTTTTGTTTGAGAAATCTGCAAATTTGCTTAATCTTTGAAAGTCCATTATAATAGGAAGCAAGAACCGGCAAACTATCAAACACAAAACTTCTAAAAATATGTTGATTGTAAGATAGGGAAGGCAATAAGATAAAATGACATTTAAAATGTGGAATCAAGGCTATTTAAGTTATGCTTCCCATTAGAAAAATTTGAATCAAATCCAGTGAAGGAGGCAGACATTAAAATATTTTTGAAAACCTGGAAAAACACTCACAGCCTCTAGGCTATGGAGTCTAATCATAAGTTCAAAGAGTTTTGACATAATGGAAAACCAGTGGGAAAAAACTAAATTATATAGCTAAACATGTCAACCTTCATTATGAAGCTTGATTTTTAAACTACATGTAAACAATAGTATTAAATATTAATACAGATTTTTAGAAATCTATAAATACAGAGGGATAAGAAAAACTTACAATATCAAATTTTTAGAGATGCTTTGATTGCTGAGCCCAAACTGAATAACTAGTCAACTTTAATCTACCAAGAAATTTCAATAGTTTCAAAATTGAAAAGTCATCTTAAAATGAAAGCCTTGGAAAAAACACATTTTTTTCTTTGTAATGTATTACTTTCTGTTCCACTACACTCCATAAAATGATACTGTATAACAAATACATATATTCCATATCTGTAACTATGTTAAATGCTCTGCATTTTGAAGAAATAATATACATTTGAAATTTTGTCTTTGCATATATTTAAATAATTTCCGTAGTAACCTAAATCATTGCTAGGTATTTTGTTGTTTTTGTCATTTATTTATATTGCATACATGTTGCATTTTCTAACATTTGGGGGACAGTTTGGTATTAGTGAAAATGACTTTAATCTCAAAAATTTGAATTCTGTTCTGCTGCAGTAACATGTGCTGAATGTTGCTGCTTGGCAGCATGGGGCCACATGGGAGACCCTGGTTAGACTCCCAGCCCACTCGAAAAAGCTAGGTTTGGTGGTGCATACCTATAGTCCCAGTTCCGTGAGAGACTGAGGTTAGAGGAGCATGAGTTCTTTCCCAGCATGGACAATATAGCAAGAATCTGTCTGAAAGACCCTGTCATGATGGCATGTGCTCGTGGTTTTAGCTACTCAGAAGACTTAGGCCAAAGGATTGTGTCAGAGCAAGGTCCTGTCTAAATGAACCCCCCAAAAAACCCAACAAAATACCACATAAACCACTAAAAATAAATTGAATTTTATCTCTATCTCTTAACAAAAGAACAGAGAGATTTGATGTATATATTTTATACAAGGGATCTTCAAAAAGTTTATGAAAAATGTGTACTATGAAAAAAACTATGCAATGATTTCAGAACTTTTCTATACCCAAATTAGCTTGTACTTTAATTCCATTTTCCACAAACTTCTTGAAGCCCCTTCTTTTTCATTTATTTTCCTTTGGAATGAGAAAGAAATGATCAACTATTGTCAAGTTACAGGAAAACAAGAATAGCATAATAGTTTCCATGGAGTGTTTTTATGACTTTAGAAAGAAATACAGAATAATAAAATGAAATAGATCTTAAATTACAAACAACTTCTTGTAAGCTTATCCTCCAACAGAAAAATGACACCATTAGTTACACCAAACATGTAAGAAAAACGAGTAAACATTTTATATAAACATTTAAAAAATGAGTAATTACTGCAAGGGGGAGAATAAGAATGATGCTTCCAAGGTGCTGATAATAGATCATACCTTGTCATGCATGATGTTTATATGTATGTGTGTGTGTATGTATATATATATGAAAAAAATTACTTAGTTGTACGGTTAATTAAAATTCATGCACTTGCTCTATATATACTTGTATAAAAAGTTAAATGAATAGGTAATGCCAACAATATGATTTCTTGGTGAGTAGTTTAAAGTCAGAATGACATAGTAGGTGACTGTATTTAAAAATAAGAACCAAGAAATTATGATTTGTAACTATAAGCATAAACATGTGACCGCACAGTTTTACTTGTATCAGTTTCCATGACCAAATGATGGGGTAAATACCAACAAGCTCATTATTGATTTATAGTTTCTCTTCTCCAAATTGAGGCTTCTTTGACCTTCCTGTGTTATCAGAGCTGGCCACTATAGACATTCAACCGTTGACTGCTGACTTGATGTTAGTCTTAGCCAATTTAAGTGGCTGGAGGGAATGCTATAAAGCTATAACATGAGGAAGAGACTTTGCTTCCATTTCTCAGACTGCTGTTTTTCCATCTGGCACTTAGCAGCATATGTAAGGGACCTCATAATGTTCACTTCATGGCCCAGGTATTACCTACACCCTCTGGAAAGGTTCTTTGCCATTCACAGAGCCACACAAAAGGATGAGTTTCAGCCCACACCCTCTGGGGGTATGGAGTATACATACATACTCCTGCATACTCTAACAGGTCTCCTTTGTCACTAGAGAGGGGTAGCCACAACCTCAACAGGGACACCTAAGTCTTTGACTTGGTAGTGCTATACCTATGGCTATATGTGGAGGGACCTTCTTAATTTATAGGTACCCATTGTACCTGTCTTATTCTCTCTTCCTCAGTGGTATAGGCACTATCTATATTGTGTACTACTGAACTACTCTTTCTTACTTCTTTTTGTAGTTAACTACTTTTTACTAGTCAATAATTCCTTATATAACTTTTAAATTACTGGTGTGGTTTCTGTCTCCTGATTGGACTGTGACCGGTACGGGCAACCTCCCCCTTACACTATATAGGATCATAAATTACAGTTCAAGAGACTATACCTTTTACCGTTCTACTATGAGACATCAATTATGCATTTCAGTTACAACATAATTTAGTTCAGTCTTGAAATAGGAAACTGTAAAATTGCTGTAAGAGACAAGCTATCATATCCCCTCAACTCTAATTTTTTAACGCAATAATTAAACTGCGTAATTAATTTTCTAGTCATCTCTTTCTGTGCCTAAAGAAAGTAAATGATTGCAGGGAGCTCTCAAAAATAGATAGAGTCTTTGCCATATCCTTTGCCCTATTGCTTCAGGGCATGCAAAAACACTAAACAAAGACATAATCTACTGCTGGGCTTTTACAGATAGAAGAAAGCTGATGTCATCCAGAGAGGGCCAGGGGAGGCTTATTTAGAACCCTGAGGTGCTACAGCTGAAGCACCAGGCTTTGCCTTCCCTATAAAAGAATGAATATAGCGTTCTCCAGCAGAGACGCAGGGTCCATCTGATCCCCGCTTTAATTCCTCAGTCCTTTCTCAATTCATAGCACTTCCCCTTGGGGTATCCTATCTCTTTGCCTTTGGGCTGGAGCAAAGGGTCACAATTTTGTGTCATTAGCTCTGAACATTTGTTCTCCTGGCTATATTGTGATTGCAACCTTCTGTGTGTGACTTGTTAAATTTCTAAGTTTTCATTTCTTCCTGATCTTTCACAGGGGATGAATTTAGATCATCCTAATTTTGATCATTGTTTAAACAGAGAAGACATATTGAT